GTGTCAGAGACCTGCCACAGATCTAACAAATTAAAGCAAGATATTGAGTGTTGAATGCGTGTCAGAGACCTGCCACAGGTCTAACAAATTAAAGCAAGATATTGAGTGTTGAATGCGTGTCAGAGACCTGCCACAGGTCTAACAAATTAAAGCAAGATATTGAGTGTTGAATGCGTGTCAGAGACCTGCCACAGATCTAACAAATTAAAGCAAGATATTGAGTGTTGAATGCGTGAAAGAGACATACCCCAGGTCTAACAAACTAAACCAAGATATTGAGTGTTGAATGCGTGTCACAAACCGATGCTTCTCTGTTAATTATAAATTGAGCTGTGGTAAGTTTTTAGTTGAAGATGGGACCTTGTCGCAATCAATCGTTATGGTGTTTACTCTAAATCTAGGAAACAGAATAGAAATAAACTATAAAGCCTCATTAATGCCAAAGCTTTGAAGGTTTTGTTTTTGCTGTTTGTTTTGTTTTTTTTTTTGTTTGTTTTTAAATTTTATTTACAATCCCCACAAATGGGGAATTAATCAATAGACATTGGTTCTTGTACTCACCGTTACTATGTTGTTGTTTTTTATCTCAAGCAGCGCAAGTGCTCTGATACAAAAGAGACTGGAACTGTTGGTACAAATTGAAAAATGTGAAACGACATTCTTGTTCTAACACAATACCTGATTCAATAAACAGCTTTTTTTAACACACAACTTTCTCAGCATACACCGGGCGACACCGGCATTAAGGTACTTCCGGTAACAGGCAAACTTGCTGAAAATAAAGCAGCAAGCTTAACAGTAGCTGTATGCTGTACTTAATAACACAACATTTATTTAAATATTCTGCTTATACAGAATGGATCTCAAGAGAAAAGCAATGGACAGTGCAATGGTCCCTTTTAAAAAGCCACGACAAGATCTAGTCGCGGTTGGGACACATCATTCACTCAATTCACTTGTTCAGTCGGTAAGAGTAATAAGAAGACGTCTTCTCACTTCTAATTAATTATTAATTGACTTAAATCAACGATAAAAGCCTAGATGTTAAGTTCAATGTTGTGGTAGAAAATATAGTAGAGTTACGGCTACTAAACTTTTTCACTTGTAAGACCAAGATTTACTTACCTTATTTAGGTAACCCCGTATTTACTCGCATTAGGTCTCACTTTTACTTTTTTACCTAAACCAAATATTTTGATAAAATAAAAATCAAAGTATGACCTATCCGCCATACAACCATCCCACTCAACCTTCGTCATCCTTTCATTATCATTTTTATGCTTAAAAATTAGGCAGGTGGAAAGGGTGAGATGTGCTCAGTGCATATTACAACATGGCATGGGTATTACGCAAAGCATCCTAGGCATAATTTGCCATGGGGGTAGAGTGCAATGCTTCCTTCCACTGTGATATTATCATATTCATATATATTATATTTAGGCTGCGGCTATTCGGACCCGGGTACAAGAGTGAGAGGTTGGGTTCATTAAAAAATATTTAAAATATTATTGTAGGGTTTGTAATACCAAATGTGGTATCAAATGAAAGATAATTGAATGGACTATATTCATATGTAATAAACTTACTTCTTCAGTTTAACTAAAATAAATTACCACAAATGAGATTCGCATAGCATTTCGTCTAAAGTGACCCGGGTACGCTTAGCCACTATAGACCAATTTGAGGGAGGAATCATTGGGCATTGGGATTCACCATAGTCATATCCATAGGGAATTATGTTAAGGGCGCTTTGCACTCTACCTGTCACGTAACATGCTTAGGGTTTGACTTGTCTTGCCCTACCCAACACCAACCTATTTTGGCAGTTAAATAAAAACTTTCTCATCTACAATCTCTAACTCATAGGCCTAACTAAAAGTCAGAAGGCTTTGGCTAAGGTCATACAGAAATTTATATACATAACTGATATAATATAAACTATTTTTGGATTAAATGATAAAGTCTTTCCACCCAAATCTTGGTTAGAACTTAAATTTGACAGTGTTCATTTTTCATTAATTTAATGCAGGGTTTCATTTGCTTATAGTTTATAGTTTATTTCAAATCTTTAAGACCTTTGGAGGCCTAATCATATTCCGATTTCTAAACTTCCATTCAGGGACCGCCAAGAACTTCGAACTTAATGGCTCCCATTATGCTTTTGACTGGACATGAAGGAGACATCTTCTGTTGTAAGTTTTCTCCAGATGGCCAGCTGCTCGCTTCAGCAGGTTTTGACCGCCTCATTTGTAAGTTCACTCTTTTTATTATAATACTTAAAATCTCTGTGCATAAGCCTGAGAAAAATTCTGTAAAAGTTAATTTAACTTTTCTGTAATGGACTTATTAAAAAAACACACAAACCAATTATGCAAAGATTCAAAAAGTCTTCAGTGCCAACAGGTTGACTGAACATTTTGAAGTCATTGCATTGCTTTAAAATGTCAATCTTGTGTCACTGTCAAATTTAATACTTTCCTAACTTATCAATGACAAATTATTTTAATATTTCATAATTTTTTTTACATTGGATTTTTTTCCAGATTTTTGGACAGTCTATGGCGAGTGTGAAAATTTTGCTATGTTAAAAGGTCATACAGGAGCAGTTATGGATTTACAATTTTCCACAGATGGCAGGTTGGTTTTTAACTCTGATATAATAATAATAATAAGACGTCTTATATAGCGCGGTACCCCAGCCTAGGGCTGGGCTCACCGCGCTGTACTTAAAAATTTTATCAAAAGAGACATAATTATGACATTAAAATAAAATACATTTATGAAAAAAAAGAACAGCAATGTATATTCACCCAACCCCACTATATAACTTTTACAAGACAAACCATGGACGGCAGCCAGCAAGATGTGCATCATTTATTTATTTTATTATTTAAAACAGAATTTAATCTATCAAGAGCAGTATTCTTTAAAATAACTTGGTATTTTCATTGAGCCCTTTGATCATCTAAGTATATATTATTTCTCCAGCATGGTCTTCTCAGCATCAACAGATAAAACTGTAGCCGTGTGGGACATTGAATCTGGTGAGAGAATGCGCAAGTTGAAAGGTCACCAGACTTTTGTCAACTCTATCAATCCTGCCCGTAGGGGACCACAGCTTTTATGTACTGGTAGTGACGATGGCACTGTGAAGGTTAGTACCATAACAAGGGGTTTGCGCTTGTGTTGTAAGGTTTGAAATTGTGCCAAACTGATTGATTAGACAACCATTAAATGATCTAAAAATGAAAAAAAAACTTCAAAATTTTATTGGATGGATTTTTATTAATTACAAACATCCATTTAAATAACGACATGCTTATATGAATACAACATACAGCTTATCACATTCCTTACTCTAAGATATGCTAAATAAGCTGGGTTTTTCTCACAACAGACATGGGATGCACGTAAAAAGGGAACAATCAACACATTTCAGTGTACATACCAGGTGACAGCAGTCACATTCACTGACACAGCTGAACAGATCATCTCTGGAGGAATTGACAATGAGTTGAAGGTAATTTATTTTAGATTCACTTTATTAGACCAATGTTTTAGTCGGAGAAGAAAAATTATTCCCTGTTAAATGACGGTGCATTCTATTTGGTTTACATTATAAACTCAGACCTGCCGACCCTTCCGATTTTGTCGACATTATACAGATTTTTACCCCTCATTCCGACCTTCCAATGAACCCCTTGAAATTCGGATTTTTTAAATTTATAATTTTTCACCCGTCATAAAAATCCGAAAGCGACAAAAAAACAACAAAAAAAACTGGTACGACAGGAAGTGTTGCATTTGTTTTTATAAAGTGCATACATGTCCGACAACATTGCAAATAAGTGAATTATTATTGAGATATTCGTCAAGCTATTATATATTCGACCAAGTCACATGACCACAGTAACAAAGTTGCGCAAGGTATTTGTCCGTCAGCTTGTCATGTGACCGATCAGAGTTTACGGTACTTCATTTCAACAAATTTAAGATAGTTTGGACATATACACGAAAAAGAAATATGTTCAATTATACACAAGAAATACTAGGACCATTGTTGGTATATATAATGAATGATTGGTTAAAAAGTGACAATAGTTTTTATAAAGCGTGGCATGCATGCCGGATAAATATCTCCCGCACTATTTGTCCAGGCGCCTGACATGTAGACACTGCCTTGTTTTTATCGAAGCGAACCGCAATCTTCAAATCATTCTTTAATCATCAATTGATGCGATCGTGATTCATCCTTTTGACAAGGCTAAAAAATAATAATTTTTTTTAAAGCTTTTTGTTAGTAAATGGTTAAATCTATTGAAAGTGATGGGTACAATGATATTAATAAACATATTTTAGCCCCCCAAAAAACCAGACAACTGCAGCTAAAAGTAATCCATGTCTAATTTCTTTCGATTCAGTTAGCACAGCGGTTCTCAACCTGTGGGTCGCGACCCCTTTGGGGGTCATTCAGTTAGCATAGCGGTTCTCAACCTGTGGGTCACGACCCCTTGGGGGTCGCACGACCCTTTCACAGGGGTCGCCTAAGACCATTGGAAAACGCATACACTCAACAGTTATAAAGTATCAACCAAAATAATTTTGTGGTTGGGGGTCGCCACAACATGAAGAACTGTATTAAAGTGTCGCGGCATCAGAAAGGTTGAGAACCACTGAGTTAGCAGATCGTTTTATTTACTACATTTCTTATTGAAGGAAATATTTCTCCAGCCAACACCGGTCGTTTTAATGCCAGAATCAAAGAAATGTTTCCAGGCTCGCAGATTGCTAGAAGATTGTAAAGAAAAATTACAATGTAACAAGGGCAAGCATGAAAGTTGATACTTTTTCTAACTTGCTTGTAACTTAAATTGTCAATTGCAATGCTAACCTTCAGTTGTCCAAAGAGCTGTGGACAAGTGGAAAATGGCCACTAGGGATATGCTGGAAAACTGAACTCTCACTAAGAGTCTTAACAGCATGTGTACTTAGTATCAAGATCTTAAACCAACCCCCTGCTGGGCGCCACTCCCTGGGGGCAGTGGCCCCACTTCCTCCCCTGCGGTCACCCCCCTACAGATTTTTTTTTTCGGTAGGTTGGCAGATCTGTAAACTAGAGCACTAGGGTTGAGTCACTTTATTAAATTTATAATTAGTGATGCACTGAACTGAATTCAACTCATTGAATTACCGGTATAATGGGAGTTTTTTTTTACAAAAATAGAACATACATTTTGTTATATCTTTCCCATGTTTATAAAGCTGTTATGCTTTTATACCTATCATATGTTTATGAAGCTGTATTGTTGCTATACCTATCATATGTTTATGAAGCTGGTAAAATATATTTCTTCTTCTTCTTCTTCTATATCTTAAGGGCCCACGATCAATTTATTGATCATTTTGGCTCCTATGCATGTAGATGGGATTTGCAATGTTTCTGTTCCTGGTGTTGATGAGGAAATTTCACAGATTTCCAGTGCCACTCAAGTTATTGAGGAAACACCAAATCATCTCCCGGATTCTACATCTTGCACAAGCACCTGTGTTGAGCACTTGAAAGAGGAAAAGTTGATCCACGTTGCTGCATGATACCAAGATGTCTGTGGATGGGGCCCATTGACCTTGGCTGGATACTCATCTGAGAAAAAGAAAACTTTCGATTCAAACGCCCAGAGATTGAGTTCCGTGGGCGGTGTGACATGCTGACACAATGAAACTTCCTGGCGATGCCACTGGTGCCGAGCCGTATCATTCATACCTGATGTTCCTTTATGTTATTAGAGTGTGTCGAGAGAGGAAATTTACCGTCTATTGATCCAGCTTGTCCTGAAATAAAAATCCCATGTTCTGTCATTTCATCCTGCAAAGTCTACACCATTGTCACATTGTAACGGATAGATAAAGTCTACACCATTGTCACATTGTAACGGATAGATAATGTCTACACCATTGTCACATTGTAACGGATAGATAATGTCTACACCATTGTCACATTGTAATGTATAGATAAAGTCTACACCATTGTCACATTGTAACGGATAGATAATGTCTACACCATTGTCACATTGTAATGTATAGATAAAGTCTACACCATTGTCACATTGTAACGGATAGATAATGTCTACACCATTGTCACATTGTAACGGATAGATAATGTCTACACCATTGTCACATTGTGATGGATAAAGTCTACACCATTGTCACATTGTGATGGATAGATAAAGTCTTCACCATTGTCACATTGTGACGGATAAAGTCTACACCATTGTCACATTGTGACGGATAAAGTCTACACCATTGTCACATTGTGATGGATAGATAAAGTCTACACCATTGTCATATTGTGATGGGTAGATGCCAGAAAATACCGAGAAAGAAAAGCATCTGCCTAATTATTACAATGTTTAATTTTTTCAGTTTTGACATACATTTTTTAAGATTTTTATAAATCCTTTATTTGAACCTTTCAGGTCTGGGATTTGAGAAAAAATGCAGTCTTATACAAGATGAGAGGACATTCAGATACTGTAACAGGACTGGAGTTGAGTCCAGAGGGATCCTATCTTTTATCAAATTCCATGGATAACACATGTGAGTGAATGGACATTCTAGTGTATCAGCTGTTAGCATTGTGACTATGGTTATACCATTTCTTTACACAACGAACAGGATTTGGCAACCTGTTCTTCAAGCTGTTATAACAAGTGTCATAATACATACAGATTTAAAATGATCAAACAGCTAGCCACATGACCAAGCTGTTGTTTCCTTAGCTACCGGTACATTAAGCTAATGAAGCTGCTGTTTTCCCTCTGATTTTTTTCTAATTTTGAGCTTTTTTTTACAATAATTTACCCATAAAACTTCAAGATCGTTTTTTTGTAGCATCACATTTTTAAAAAAAAGTAATTATTATTTGTATCACTAAAATAACTAATAGAAAATGAATCCTGTGGCACATTAAAGTATACAGATTCTGAGGGTAAATTGGACATTTATGTGAGCTATGTAAGGTGACCATGACCTTTAAATAGTGAGGACTGTTGCACCACTGTTTTCTCTGCCTTCGAATCACTTCTGCACTTACTTTTGGGTCTGTTTATCATATTCATGTGTTTTTTTTAGACTCAGAAAATGATACTTTCAGTTAAAAAAATATGTCCTTTGGATATGAGAAATGAAAAAAAATAAGGCATTGGTGACTTCAAATTTCTCTTATGATTGACCATTATGACAGCATCTATGTTAATATGAATTTCATCCAAAGGAAAAGCCATTCATTATTATCATGAATTTCTCTTTCAAATACCATCCATTGCAGATAAACAGATGTAATTGACAGTTTTAAAATGTTGAATTATGCCATGACCTGGAAAAAACTGACATTTCAATGTCCCTGCTAGAAATAACTGAGATTTCAATGGCCCTGCTTCTGCTAGAATAAACTGACATTTCAATGTCTGTGCTAGAATAAACTTACATTTCAATGTCCCTGCTAGAAATAACTGACATTTCAATGTCCCTGCTAGAAATACTGACATTTCAATGTCCCTGCTAGAAATAACTGACATTTCAATGTCCCTGCTTTTGCTAGAATAAAGTGACATTTCAATGTCTGTGCTAGAATAAACTTACATTTCAATGTCCCTGCTAGAAATAACTGACATTTCAATCTCCCTGCTAGAAATAACTGATATTTAAATGTTCTTGCTAGAATAAACTGACATTTCAATGTCCCTGTGCTAGAATAAACTTACATTTCAATGCCCCCGCTAGAATAAACTTACATTTCAATGTCCCTGCTAGAAATAACTGATATTTTAATGTCCATGCTGGACTTAGGTTGCATGTAAATTCAAGGATTATTAAATATGCTTTGATACTGATCGCACCCTCGATAAACACATCGCTGCATTCTGCCTCGCCCAACTGTTGACAGGTGCGAGGTCCAAATTTAGAATCCTTGATACAAAGTAGTTATTGAATTAATCAAATGGTTAGATTCTACCCTTTTCATTGATTCCATAGAGAACAGGGTTGACTTTTTTTTTTACAAATGTATTTGATTTAAATCAAATTTTTAAAGCTTTTAATTGATTTTTGTTCTTCTTTTTTTTAAAAAGAATTGCATAAGATTTAGAAGTATTCTATTCTAGTGTCTCTGGTTTTTTCCTTTTTATTTTACTTTAGCAGTTCAAATAGTTTACATGTTTTTAATAATTGTAAAGCGCTTATAAGGTAAGCGCCATAAAAAAATGCCTAAATAAATAAATAAAGTACACTAATGTTTATAAAGTTTAAACTAATGTTTTTATATAAATTGGATATTTTGATATTTAAATAAGATTTTCCAAATTTAGATAGTCTACTTATTTATTTATTTATTTTTTTTAAAAAGGATTTCTTTAGATTTTGAAGTATAATTAATTTTTATAATGATCAAACATAAATTCCAATTTGATTTTGACTTACTGATTTAATTATTAGTAAAATCAAATTAGAAAAATTAATAAAATACAATAAATATTATCTATATGAAAGGTTTTTCATACTTTTTCCGAAATCTGACATTTCTCTTTATATTCTAATAAAATTATTATAACATACCAAATGATTAATTAAAAAAGTTTAAAACTTATTTGTTAACATTACAATAAAAATATATATCAAATCTATTTGAATACAAATTTCAGACTTTCAAATTATCCTTATCAATGTCATTTGATTCCACAAAAGCCATCAGATTAAATGTACGAATGGAAAAGCTAGTTGTCAAGCTTTCTCAACCCCAAGTTAATTTCTAAAGACTGAAAATTTTAATTTGATTTGAATAAAAATGAAATTTATGATTATAAAATTGTGCAATCATATTAAGAAATTAAATATTGTGTGACTTATAATACATAAAACCAACATAAGTTCTTTCTAGCAAGTATCTTTAAATATAAATAGGTTAGATAAATAAATATAAGTAAAATTAATTAAAATCAATTTTTTATCATTTATATTGTGACTTTTATTGGTCCATAACCGTCCATTTTAAATTGTGATTGAAATTAGTGACTTATTTGAGTTGATTTGAATCATCTGAACCCTGATGGAGAATGGCATCAAGCTCATATTTGTTTTAAAAATGCTTTCATCAATTTAGAACCAGAGAAGTTTTCCTACTCTGAAACAGACTTTAAGAACAAATGATATTTTTTTAATGATGTCATCATTATATATGTAAAAGTTAACACCTTCGTCTAACCTGTGCTGTAACATCTTATAACATTTTAATCATCTTATATTACCCAGTAAAAGATAAGTTAGATATGGTGACTTTTGATCCAAATGAACTATTCTGTCTTTTTTATTTAATAGTGCGCATCTGGGATGTGCGGCCGTACGCTCCCCAAGAAAGATGTGTTAAAATCATGTCAGGCCATCAGCACACTTTTGAAAAGGTAAAGCATTGGATTTATTTTATATTTTACTATTTTTTGTTCACATGAATCATCTGGACATTTATGGACCACCATATATTATGTATGCACTGATGGGGGAGAGAGAGTGGTTGATTTTGGAAAAAGAATAGTTGCCTTTTCACTTGTGTTTTATTTTGACTGTTATAAAAACAAGTAACCTATGCTTAGCAGAGCAAACACAATTCTGTACATCGAACCAGGAATTCTTATTACCACAGGGTATTGCTAATAGTAATAGAACATAAATTGTGTAGCAAATTGAAATAAAAAAAAATATTTTCTACTGCAAAAGTTGGGAGTTAAGCTTTAAAAATTATGCATTCATCATTACCCGTATGTTAGTCAAATGGGTCGTATGTTAGTCAAATGGGTCGGGTCGTACGCCACAAGTTAGGAAACACTGGTTTACAGTGACTTGTCTGCATATAATTGTCCGGTATGTGATTAATGGTTTATAAATGAATTAATTTTGTTTGTGTACAGCAGTGTTTTTAATATATGGTTGGCCCCTTATAAAAAAGAAATATCTTTGATATAAGATCCTATTTTTTTAAAAGTATCAACAATAAATAATTACAAGAACGTAATGTATTTTCATTTCATATTGTATTAATAAATATAATATTGACATTTAAAATTGAAAAAAAAATTATTTCAAAGGTATGTACTCAACAAACACTAATATGGTAAATATTAGAAGCAGATGAAAAAATAAGTCTAAAGCTGGTACACAGTGACGTTGGGTTAACTTGAGACATTTTCTTTTCTCTATCATCAGGTAACAAATGTAACAACCAATTTTAAGATTAAATGTACATAAATCAAGCCATTAAATTATTCCAGAATCTGCTGAGGTGTGCTTGGTCACCGGATGGCAGCCGTGTTGCTGCTGGGTCGGGTGACAGATTTGTGTACGTTTGGGACACCACATCCCGTAGAGTGGTATACAAGCTGCCAGGCCATGCTGGCTCTGTTAATGAAGTTGACTTCCACCCCAATGAACCTGTCAGTGAGTACAAAACAGTAGAAAGCACCCAATGGCTCCTGGTTTATAGCCTCTAACCCAACTGTGTCATCAAACTAAATCAGCATACAATTGATAGTAATATACACTCGTATAGTAATTTATCACCAGAATCCTTAACATAACTTTCATTCACAGAACAAAAAATTGGCCAGTCAGTCAAATAATTTTGTGAAGTAATATTTCCATTGCCAAAATAATAATTTACTTTTTATTATTCAAACCTTAAAGTTTGATAACATCTTCGTGTTGTAGAAATAGTTAACAATATGACCAACCAAATAAAATAAAACAATGGTTAAATTAATTTCATTTTTTCTCTTTTTTAGTTTCCTCCTGCTCAAGTGACAAGAAGATCTATCTAGGTGAGCTGGACTAGGCCAAGAGACACTTCACTTTCATGTTCATTCACTGTAAATAGATTTCATTAAAAAAATGTATATTATGTCTTGTTATTTGTTCATCAATATTGCATGTGTTGTTTGAAAAGAATGAAACATTTTAAATATGCTGTTGAGTACACCTCATTGTGTTTGCATGATGTTACAAAAGCTGCATAAGCATTTCATTGATCCCAAGTACATAAAAGATAAAAGAGCCTGTGAGAAAACAGAGGTGTCAGCTACTTGACTCTCTCACACCAGAAGAAAAGATTCTTTTATTCATCCAACTAAATGGAAATGTTTGTTTTTTTAAATTACATTGTCCATATTCAAATTCAGCACAAAATAGAAATAAATATTCCAACAAAGACAACATTTTACAACTAGAACAATTTAAACACAAAACATCTATAGTATTTCTCTAGTGTCAAAATCAGCCATTATATACCGGTACTATAAATCTTAATGACTTAAGAAGCTAATGACCTGTCAATAAAGGTTTTGTGCCACCCCTGTCACTGTAAACTTTTTTTTATAGATTATATTTTAAATTTTAATGGACTGTTGGGTTGTACAAAAAGTAATCAGCACTTGTCATGCTTTTTAGAAAGACATTTTTCACAGTACCGGTGCTGTAGATAATAAATGAAGGGCTGCCGTCAAGCTATGTGAATGAAATAGTAAAAAAAGATATTGTAGGAAAGTGCCAGTAAATGGACAAAGCCACCATATGAAATGGCTCCCCACATCCACAGAACTTAACGTCAAAGTAAAATCATGGCTATGACAGGAACCCAATAAGAGTTGGCTTAAAATGTTTAATTTTCAAACAATACCAGTACTCAAAGCTGTACTGGTACTTGTGAACAGCTGAATAAGTATAACTAAAATCAACTTTCCCTTTTAATCCCATGGATTTAAAATGAAGACAGGGTGTAAAAATCTGCATGGATAAAAGGTATCTTGAGTTTGGGATGGGTTTACTCTAATATAAATCAAATGAATTTATTTATAGATATCACAACAAAAGCAAATAATCATTTCAACCAACATCTAACGTTTGTGGTCTAGTTAACAGAGCGCTAATACTAATACAGATACTACTTACCACTATGCCGTTTGGCCATAATTTTCTCCAGTGCTTCCACCAAAGACAAATGATTTCTGTAGGCCAGGAATGTAATTGTTATAACCAGGGTTATACTGCGTCATTCCAGCTGGCGTGTTGGGTTTGAATTTTTTGGCTGGTGGCACAGACAATCCTTTTACTTTATTCTGGTGTTTTGAACCTTCAATGGCATCATGATACACATATAATGATATATATGAATAGATTATATAAGACCAAAATGTATAAATCATCTGAATATTCCCAAGAAATCCTAAATTTTGGTTTGTCCAATAAAGAAATAGAACAAGATATGTGAAAGCTTGAAAGGAAAAAAACAGGACGCTATTTCCTGTAACCTCTTTAGTAGCACATATGTTTTGGTGTTAGACACATGAAACAGGAGTTAGTCCATTGGAAGACCTTAAAGACATTATCCTTTGGACTATGAGTATCTAGGTTATTTCCAAGGGAACATACCTTTACAATGACTTCATGGTTTGACCAGAGCGACCATAGAAGCGGCTTAACTAGTACTAATACTAATACAGTGCAAAGAAATATGAGCCTAGAAAAATGAAATCTGAAGCTGGTTCGTCTTCCCAAGTCCCATACTCTATAAATTACAAGTCAGAATTCTCACCTCACTTAACTCCCTTGTAAATCATTATTATCTGTGACAAAACATATCACAGCAGGATGCTCCAACACACTGAAACCATAAGAGTAAATACCTACCACTTCGGTGGGCATCCATCTGTGCTTGAGAATTAACAGAAATGTTACAAAAACTACAAAAGAGCAGACTACCAGGTTGCAGCACTTTGCCCTGTGATTGGTTTGCATTTTGTTGGCTTTCAACACCTGAAATCTGCCCCTGAAAAGTGCAGAGAGAAAAAAACATAACGCTGTCATCACATTACTTTCCAGTCAGTCAATTTAAAATTAAAAGTTTGAACATTTCTTTTATCTTCCTCAAAATACAGAGATGTATTAACATGCCTTAAATCATTTTAAAACCAGCCTGTGCAAAAATGTCCTAGAAATTGGTAGATTTCTTTGTTGCTCTGGTTTAAGCTGAATTACATGTAAGAGCAAAACAAATTTGATTTAAAATACTTGGGATACCCATTAAATTATAGAAAAAAAAGGGAAAAACTCATTTGGTTCTCCTCCAATGCCTTTGGAAAATCTTGCATAAGCTTTTTTGGGAAATGTTCTCCTGTAGCGCCCTAAAAACACAGATAGCGTTTTAGGTTGAATCTGCACTGCAACTTTGTATCTACTTACATTGTTCAGCACAGCTGGTCCAGGTGGTGGGCATGTCAGCAAATGGGGCATATTTAGAGGAGCTGCTGGGGGTGGTTGTGTTGATGGTGGTGGTGGTGGGGGTGGTTGTGTTGATGGAAACAGCTGGGACTGGACATTTGGGGTGTCACCTGTGAATGAGAACAAAAAATGATGAATGAATGTCAAATAAAAAAGTCAATGCCTTAAAGAACATAACCAGGACAATATCTTGAACAATAAAATGTCTGGCCATCAGACTTCACACATGCAACAATTCCAATTTAAGTACAATATTATATTGAAACCTCAACTAGAATCATTTAACAGATTGACACTTTGGACTTTCATCCAGCAAACATATTTTTGTAGATAACCTACCACAAGGATTGACTTGGGCCAATTTTACTCTTTTCTCATGTTTTGCACCTGCGTAGTGTGCCTGGGCAATGAGAGGTGAGTTGAAGGGAACATGGCAAACACCACAGTATTGTTCAGGTGCTTTTATTACACCAGCATTGGCTGTGGGGAAAAAAAGGTATAAAAAAAATATAAAGACAAAGATGTGGATAATAGCACTGAGGTATACATTACTTTGTAGATGGATACCTTTAACTTCATTTGGTGGGATTTACCTTAGCTAGTTTAACTAAACCATTCGGCCACCCAGTCAAGTTGGTGGTCTGGAGTTCAATTCCAGCCAAATGACTGTCACTTATGCTTTATTTTGACTGTTAAAGAAATATGGGCCATCCATCATCATTAGTTAATAAAACAGTAGATCAAGGTATGTTAAGCTTGAAGGAGATCTCTAATTTTTTTTACACTGAGATCTTTTAATTGTCTTACTTTTATTTGCTTAATTGCTGAAGAAGGCTCTAACTCTAAGCCAAAATGTTCAAATCTTACTCTCCTATCTATTAATTCAAGCTTAACATACCTCATCATGAGTCAAGTTTGTTTTTAAATATTAAATGATGATTACAACAAACTATCAACTACCTGTCTTCAATGCCAACGTTCTTCTATGTTTTTCTCCACTGAAATGAACTTCTGCCTGTGACTGTGAAGTGAGGGACACAATGCAGATAGAGCAGAAAGGTTTTATACTGTTCTTTGTCTTTTTAGCCACAGGTTTATCTACACCAGCTTGATGCTGATCTGTCTGTGCAGCAGTTTTCTCACATTCGCTTTGTGGCTAGAAATATTTTTAAAAAATTTAATACATATATTAAATTTATTTTTACAAAATTTAAGAAAGGATAATTGACAAGTAAGCTAACTTTGGATTAAGATACAGTAGACATTTTTGCAATGAGAAAAAACTAAATTATTCCAGACATCAGGATGAGATTTCTTGTGTACAATTCATGAAATGTTCTCCTTCTCTTTTCCAGGCTAATGGCAAATGTACTAGTGCTAAATTAGACATAGCCATTTATCTTGGTTTTCTTACTGAGTAGAGGCTAAATAGGCCCTAATTTATAGATTAACCAAATTTAAAAAAACTGTTAGAGATGTAATAGAATATCAAATATTTATATTGAAGCACAGAGACTGTTATTGTAGTAATTGTAGCTCTCATAGTTAAAAGGTAAAAGTTAAGCTTCTAGATATAAACAAAATTAACCATATGAAATTATTAGTACTATAATCAATTCCCAAGGATAAATGGCCCATAATTGTATAATACTGTAGTGTAAGTTAAAATTACTACCTTTACCTCAGGGCAAGGTTTAAGCTTTTCAGTGTCATTAAGCTGTGATGTCATGTTGGAGTAGTCCTGACTGATCAATTTTGTTTAGTGTATGTTACTGAAAGGAAACACACACAAAAATGATGATAAGCTCTTTTTTTTTTTTTTTACACAGCTATTTGTAGTAGCCACAAAAAAACACAAAAAAACAACACTGTGGTGAAACTAGGGAGGGGAAAGGGAAAGAGTGTCTTTTAGCTACTTACAGGGACAAATGAACATAAGGAAAATGATGGGTCATTTTTTAATTTTTTTTTTAAATGACAAGACAATTTTTAAAATCTTGTGGTGTATAATAATTAAAATATAAAAGAGCATTTAATAATGAACTGAATAAAAGTAAAAAAACAAATTTTAAAGACAAAAACATTTTAAAAATCGTTAAAATTTAAAGGTTTCACTCTACCTAACCTGAATGTTAAATCTCCCTCACCTGAAAATCAACCTCAAAAATTCAAACTTAAAACTATGCCTAATCTGAACCCTAAAACCATGTTTTCATGTACTAGAAGTGCACAATGTAGTGAGAATAGTGTGCAATTGAATAAAAAGACTAAAATTATTATTTGTAATATTTAAGAAAACCCATCTTACAGTCTCATGTCATACACTTTTTACACATTTTATTACAGGTTCCATCATAAAGTTAAAAAATGATCATACTGAAGAACTTTGTTTTTCAAATACCTGTATTAATTGACCTCGCTTTAAAATATAAATTTAAAAATGTATCAGTAAAAATATTCCAATAACGTTAATATAAAAAAAGAAGGTCAATTTACACAATCTGCCCCACTTTGAGTTTCTGTGGAGGATTCTCTCCCTTTTGTTTAGTCTAGGATTGTTACTGCAGTTAATTTTTCTTTTGTTAATAATAATCTTCATGGATGGAATGTTTTAAATTAATACTTCATAGAGTGGTTAATTATAATATTTAAAATAAGGCCAGCATTTTGGAATAAGTATTAATTTTTCTGGCAACTTTTGGATTTTATTTTTGGTGGAACCTGAAGTTGGGTTTTTATTATTTTGAACACAGTAGAACTCGGTTATGTCGACGGCCTCAGAGTTTGCCAAAAGGTGTCGAGATAACCGATGGTCGACATAACCGAAAGCCAATGTGGCGGCAATATATTAATATGTGCTTGAAATTTCTTTATGTACATGTGCGTTAATAAATGCAAGTACTTCAGTAAAATACAAAAATAATAATTTTTTAAATACTACAGTTATTTAGAGCACATTTAAAATTTTAAAAATGAAACCAGAATCAACTTTTTAACTTGAGTACTTTTTGAGCAACGAATTTCTAAAGTGCCAGTTCGTTTGGTATTTTCCACTATGGACGAAGCCTCCACATTTTGTGACCTCATTCTGCTGATTGTGTCCTGCGCAATAACTATATAGTTTATATAATGTAATGCATCCCCTTATTACTATAATACTATTTAGGGACTACTTATTTTGAACTTTCAACTTTGGGACTTGACTACTTAATTAAAGCTTTCCCTGACCAATGGTTTAATAGCTTTTGCACACTGCAAACTCTTATGGATGAAACTCTGACGTAGCACGACGGCATAGGCATTATGCAAGTGACCATTGACCATGAATGGCTGCCAATGACAACGTTTTGCACACTGCAAATTATGATCATTTATAATATGGGCACTAACTGGTTTTTAAACCTTGAAATAAAACATATTTATTTAAATTACTTCTACGTTCATCATTTTGAGAAATAAATAATTATTTTTAATTATGAAAAACTTGTTTATTTGTTTTTTGCTATTTCTTCTTGCGAACATCAAAAGCCCACAATTGGTCATGAGGATCGAGATAACCGAGGTTAAGTGGTAAATTTGGCCGCCTTTTGTGCTCAAGATATCTGGGTTCGGCGACATAAAAGAATTGACATAACCAAAGAGAAAATGCTAAGACAAAGAGAGAACTTGGTGGTTACACTTCAAAATCATCAACATAAAAGGGTTGTTGATTTTTAAATGGTCGAGATAAGCTGGTTGGACTGTATTTTAAAAATAATTTCAATTTTTTAAATTTAAATACACAATTCTTTAAGTACAATGCAGAGTGTAGTAGCTGTTGCACACGAACACATAGTTAATGATAGTTTTAGGGTTTGCGTTATTCATTAGGTCATAGATTTTAGGTTTGAAGATTAAAGCTTACGTTAGGGGGGGGACTAAATTTAGGAGTGAGTTAATACTCAAATTAGGAGAGGGGGGAGATTTACAGTGGAATTTATGCTTGAGTTAGAGATATTTACTTAGCATTCAGGATAAGGTAGAGTTGTAGATTGTACTTTAAAAAAATGTAATTAAATTTGCTTTTTTTTTCTTGCTGTGACATAACTGCCATCTTGGCAACAAAGATGCTGGCCATGGGAAAAAAAGAAGTGCAAAAACACAGTGAAATGGTGTGTATTGTCTAGATTTACAAAACAATAAATAGTTCACTCAAGTAAAAAAAAAAAAGAAAGAAAAAGTAAAAATACACGACTTTACAAGGGGGAGTTCACTCATCCACATTTCATCCTTGAGTTCACTCATCCACATTTCATCCTGGAGTTCACTCATCCAAATTTCATCCTTGAGTTCACTCATCGACATTTCATCCTGGAGTTCACTCATCCACATTTCTTCCTTGAGTTCACTCATCGACATTTCATCCTGGAGTTCACTCATCCACAGAAATCAAGTAGTAGGATCAGATAGCGCAAATTGGCCAATTATATACAGTACAATTTATCTTCAAGACAGTATCATAAAAGAGAAAGGAATATTTCCAAGAAACTATTATTAAGAAACAGTCTTAGGTCTGATAGAACAAGTAACCTGAACTAGTCAGCCAGTGTCAGTGAACATGACAAGTGTAGAGAAGCCAAGTTCAAAAGTCAGTTCAGTAAGCTGTACTTTACACTGACTGTAGACTGTAGTGTCTGTACTGTAGACTGTAAGTTACAAGTTGTAAGGTAAGCCACCGTAAGTTGTAAGTTCCGTAAGCATACCTGAGACTGAGACGAGACGAAGGCTAAATATTTGCCTGTTTCTGCAACTTCTTGTTATAACTTTTTATGTTATTTCCCCATAATTCCGTGCCTTGGCATTTATCCCGTTTTGAGAGGATGAAGAGCGTAAACAATTACATTTACTGTTTATAATTTACATTTACTAACAATAACTACTTTCCAAGACCCTATAAGAAAAAAAGCTAATAGGGTGATTTCCCTTTCATTTCCTTTCCTTACGGTGTTAGGTTATCAAAGATTCTTCCGAAAAGAAATCTGATGCATGGCCAAATTATTCAAAAAATAAAATTTGCAGGCTTACATTAGTCATTAAGACATCTAAAAATGTAAAGCTATTGTTTCTCACTTGAATCACCTCAAAACAATTTTACATTTTAGGCCGTCTATAAAATACGTCATGCTGCGGAGGGGGTCTAAGTGTGACAGTTTGTGACACTGATTGTGTGACTTTACAACTTTTTTTAATCAATAAAATAAAACCAGAAATTGACAATGATTTAAAACTTTTTAATATGTGTATTCTGATAGAAGATTACACTTGATACATTAAATAGTTTAATAATAAACAAATGTGTTTTAGGTTAAAGTTTAAATAGTTGTTGATTCTTTATATTTTTTTTTAATTGGGAAGAGTGACGTACAGGGGGGGGGGGTTAGGAGGAAGAGGGTTAGTGGTTTGTTTTGCTTTTGTATTTTTTAAGTAAGGCACAAAGTCTATTTATAATTTTTGATCATTAATAGGAATGCAGTGGCTTTCAAATAGCGTATATGGGGGGGGGGGGGGGGTTAGGAGGAAGAGGGTTAGTGGTTTGTTTTGCTTTTGTATTTTTTAAGTATGGCACAAAGTCTATTTATAATTTTTGATCATTAATAGGAATGCAGTGGCTTTCAAATAGCGTATAACATAATAAGAAAATGAATGCTAACTTAGAAATAGGCAGAAAATGTGCATTCTTTCACTTAGGTCTATACAAATCAAACAATTGCAATATAAAAATCAAAACAGGGTAAACAAAGAGAAAAATGTATTCAAATTTTGTGTGTGGTGCATTTATTATCTCAGTACCTAGCCGATAGTGCAAACATGAAAAACGATATATATTAAGAAGGGGCAGGAATTTGATTTCAACGCTGTAGATATTAATTAATTTATTTCCTTATTAACTTTCAGATTAGGTAACTCTTTGAGTCCTGAGCTAATTTCGAACACACTGACAAGTAGTGACAAGCTGTCATAAGCGGTGGCCAATATATAACACAAGGGGAACCTTGACCGTAGTTTGGGATGGTTTAATCATAACCTACACCAACTTTTTTATGAAAAAAAAACCCCACTTACTCTTCTGCCATCGTCTCCAGTTGCAAAACTGCCCCCCCCCCAAACCATCTTTGCTCCCACCTAGCTAAAAGCTATCCTCGCTAAACCCCAAGCCATGATCCAAACACACTCCTACAACCCCAACCCATGATCCGAACACTCTTCTAAACCCCAACCAATGATCCAAACACTCTTCTAAACACCAACCCATGATCCAAAAACTCTTCTAAACCCCAACCCATGATCCAAACACTCTCCTACAACCCCAACCCATGATCCGAACACTCTTCTAAACCCCAACCAATGATCCAAACACTCTTCTAAACACTAACCCATGATCCAAACACTCTCCTAAAACAAAACCCATGATCCAAACACACTCCTACAACCCCAACCCATGATCCAAACACTCTTCTAAACACCAACCAATGATCCAAACACTCTTCTAAACCCCAACCCATGATCCAAAAACTCTTCTAAACCCCAACCCATGATCCAAACACTCTCCTACAACCCCAACCCATGATCCGAACACTCTTCTAAACCCCAACCAATGATCCAAACACTCTTCTAAACACTAACCCATGATCCAAACACTCTTCTAAACCCCAACCCATGAACATAACACTCTTCTAAACCCCAAACCATGATCATAACACTCTTCTAAACACCAACCCATGATCCAAACACTCTTCTAAACACCAACCCATGATCCAAACACTCTCCTAAACCAAAACCCATGATCTAAACACACTCCTACAACCCCAACCCATGATCCAAACACTCTTCTAAACCCCAACCCATGAACATAACACTCTTCTAAACCCCAAACCATGATCATAACACTCTTCTAAACACCAACCCATGATCCAAACACTCTTCTAAACCCCAACCAATGATCCAAACACTCTTCTAAACACCTAACCATGATCCAAACACTCTTCTAAACCCCAAACCATGATCATAACACTCTTCTAAACCCCAACCAATGATCCAAACACTCTTCTAAACACCTAACCATGATCCAAAAACTCTTCTAAACCCCAACCGATGATCCAAACACTCTCCTACAACCCCAACCCATGATCCAAACACTCTTCTAAACCCCACCCATGATCCAAACATTATTCTAAACCCAGACCCATGATCATATCACTCTTTTAAACCTCAACCCAATGATCCAAACACTCTTCTAAACACCAACCCATGATCCAAACACTCTCCTCAACCCCAACCCATGATACAAACACTCTTCTAAACCCCCAGCCATGATCCAAACACTCTCCTAAACCCCAACCCTTGATCCAAACACTCTTCTAAACCCCAACCCATGATCCAAACACTCTTCTAAACCCAAACCCATGATCCAAACACTCTTCAAACACCAACCCATGATCCAAACACTCTCTTAAACCCCAACCCATGATCCAAACACTCTTCTAAACCCCAACCCATGATCTAAACACTCTTCTAAACCCCAACCCATGATCTAAACACTCTTCTAAACCCCAACCCATGATCTAAACACTCTTCTAAACCCCAACCCATGATCTAAACACTCTCCTAAACCCCAACCCATGATCTAAACACTCTCCTAAACCCCAACCCATGATCTAAACACTCTCCTAAACCCCAACCCATGATCTAAACACTCTCCTAAACCCCAACCCATGATCTAAACACTCTTCTAAACCCCAACCCATGATCTAAACACTCTCCTAAACCCCAACCCATGATCTAAACACTCTCCTAAACCCCAACCCATGATCTAAACACTCTTCTAAACCCCAACGGTGGACCTATGTCCCAGCTACGAGCCCCTCCCACCCCGGGTAGTGAGGTCGGCGTTCATTGATTGTACTTGAGAGCAGTGCACTCAACGCCCATATTTGATTTAATAATTATATGTTAATACTTAATGATGTCATATGAGAAATGAGAGAGAAAAGATCTAGGTCAAAATGTGTTGTTTTTTTAAAAGATTTTTTTAACCAAAGGAGGCTCCTTAATTACATCTTTTTAAAAGTGTTATTCCAGTTACATTATTTATAAGGAGATGAGGGAAGGATTAAATGAGTTGTTGTTTTTTACTTTAAAAAATAAATAAATCAGTTTTCAATTATTTTCTTGGTTCATTTATTTTACTCTCATTCGCGATGGACAGTTCCTCTTGGCACCGAATGAGTGCCTGACTCATGTTGTTGTGGTCATCCTTAACGTCGACGGACATTGTCACGCAAATGTATGGAAACATTCGATTTGAAAGAGCGGGATAAAGGGCTATAAAGGGGAAATAATGAGTCACTTGAGATCGATAGCGTTGATGAAGCTAACACTAGGTTATTTCCCGTTCAGGCGCCGAGGTCTTGCAATTAAAAGCGTTTAGACTGGATTTTTTGTTTTAATGGGGTGTAGGGGTGGGATGTCATGCAAGAACATTAACTCCGTCTGTTCCTACTTGGCAAACAGTTAATCCAGTGGTCCACTGTGGATTCGGAGTCCGCGAGGTGGAAACAGGAAAAGTGGATTAATTAAGGGGCCATGCATATGGGGAGGGGGGGTTGGGTGTTGTCGATTTTGGTGATGCTGTGCAGTCAGGGGGGGGGGGGGGGTGGGTCCTCGGTACGAAGTGCGCACATTTATTTACAATTCTGCACTGATCTTCCNAGGTGGAAACAGGAAAAGTGGATTAATTAAGGGGCCATGCATATGGGGAGGGGGGGTTGGGTGTTGTCGATTTTGGTGATGCTGTGCAGTCAGGGGGGGGGGAGGGTGGGTCCTCGGTACGAAGTGCGCACATTTATTTACAATTCTGCACTGATCTTCCGGATATTCTGACTGCATTTCAATAGCATCGTTATGTCTAATACTGTACAAATACCTCGCATTTTTTCTATAGGAATTTTCGTCCTAATATAGCTTTGTCTCAAAAGTGAACTTGCTGCCTATCTCTCTAGTAGTAGACCTACTCAGTCCATATGGCTCTAGTAGCAGACCTACTCAGTACATATCTCTCTAGTAGTAGACCTACTCAGTACATATCTCTCTAGTAGTAGACCTACTCAGTGCATATGCCTCTAGTAGTAGACCTACTCAGTGCATATCTCTCTAGTAGTAGACCTACTCATTACATATGCCTCTAGTAGTAGACCTACTCAGTACATAGCTCTCTAGTAGGAGACCTACTCAGTACATATTGCTCTAGTAGTAGACCTACTCAGTACATATCTCTCTAGTAGTAGACCTACTCAGTGCATATGGCTCTAGTAGTAGACCTACTCAGTACATATGGCTCTAGTAGTAGACCTAGTCATTACATATTTCTCTAGTAGTAGACCTACTCAGTACATAGCTCTCTAGTAGTAGACCTACTCATTACATATCTTTCTAGTAGTATACCTATTCAGTACATATCTCTCTAGTAGTAGACCTACTCATTACATATCTCTCTAGTAGTAGACCTACTCAGTACATATCTATCTAGTAGTAGACCTACTCAGTGCATATGGCTCTAGTAGTAGAACTACTCAGTAGATATGGCTCTGGTAGTAGACCTACTCAGTACATAGCTCTCTAGTAGTAGACCCACTCAGTGCATATGCCTCTAGTAGTAGACCTACTCAGTGCATATGGCTCTAGTAGTAGACCTACTCATTACATATGCCTCTAGTAGTAGACCTACTCAGTACATAGCTCTCCAGTAGTAGACATACTCATTACATATCTTTCTAGTAGTAGACCTACTCAGTACATATATCTCTAGTAGTAGACCTACTCAGTACATATTGCTCTAGTAGTAGACCTACTCAGTACATATCTCTCTAGTAGTAGACCTACTCAGTGCATATAGCTCTAGTAGTAGACCTACTCAGTACATATGGCTCTAGTAGTAGACCTACTCAT